TGTATAAGATATACACTGTTCGATATGAAATTTATCGAATTTTATATTTTTCTGATAGTTTTCACCCCTTCTCCGTTTGTTGAAGCTTACCAAAATGTATGGAAGTTTTTTAGGTGGTTTTTTGGGAAATTCGTAGGCAGAGAACCCACGCTCCAGTATTCAGGCAATTTCAGAAAATTGAAAATTTAATATAATATAGTCTTGAGAACACTCCAGGGGATTTAGCTTTTTTATGATGGGTTGCAAGTACTTTTTTTGTCGAGTCTTTGTAGCTTTTTTTTGAATTTCGCCTCGTACCTGATGTTTTTTTATGGTTTGCCTCCAGAATTTGCTTTTGAAAGTAAGTTCTTTAGCTATTCTAGAAATTCTGGAGCCCAACATATTTATGGCGCACTGATCTTACAAAATTTTTTTTTCACCATTAATTTTCTTTTGTTTGAAGACATTTCGATAACTGTGTGTGTTTTTTTTTTTTTTTTTACAGCAGTACTTGACAGCTATGTTCTTCTGGAAAAATCGATAATGCTAAAACCAAGTGCACCACTTCGTACAGCTGATTTTATCACGTTGATGAAAGAATGCCGTGTCGTTGTTCCTACCGAAGAAGAAGGTAAGTTACGCTCACTTTTTTTGCTGTCCCTAGCTCTGTATTTAGCTGGTAGGGCGATATACTGTAGTTATTGTGGTTGTAGTTGGTATACTGTAGTTGGTATACCGTAGTTGAATATACTGATGTACTATAGATAGTGATATACTGTAGCTGAAATACTGCGGATATGGCTTTACGAGTGTCTCAAGTATGTGGTAGGAGCAGCCACCGCCATAAAATATGTACTAAATTCGGGCGTAATAATGCAAAACAGACTGCATATAGTTGCAACAGTACTCGGCTCAGGGGTCACTTTGCTACTTTTGCGATGTACACGGATTATATGCGATCGTCTGGTGATAGCTGTGAACTTTCACAGTTGGAGGCAGGAGAGGGAGGAAAAAAGAGATCATGAACGATATTTGCAGAGTCCAAACTGTGGTGGTACCCGAGAGCGTGGGAACGCTGAATTTGAATGTGCAGGGTCGAACGTGGGCAGGGGGTCATTACCTTAAAATTTCAGCATTCCAGCTTTCCTGATTGCTAAGTTGAAAGTGGGTGACATAGTTCACTTGCTTCCGAACACACACAGAAGATTTCAGGCTCCCGTTCTCTTCCACTTTCCTTGGCAGGAATATTCACTGTTTATGTCTTTAAAGCTTCTGCAACACTTAATAGTAGTAGTAGATATTTTCGTCGACAATTCTGGCAGTTTTATTGATATTCTATACAGCCAGTGAACCGGCTTCGGTCGTTGGGCTTCAATGCCTTTTGTATTTTGGTGTTTTCAGATGCTTCATCTTCATCGTCCAGTGAAAAACCAAGTAACGAACAAGCGCGGAAGCAGTTGCTACGGTTGACACGTTATTGGCCAACGAAGTTGAAAGATGCTTTCATTTATAATATACCAAAGGTTTTTATTATTTCATCAGTTTTTCAGCTTTGATATACCAAAATGGCTTCGACTTTTTCCGCTTTGTCTAACCCTAAAAGTTCTCCTGGATTTTCCCGGGGAAATTGTTATATCTGTAAAAATTTTTATAAATCAAATCAGCACCGAAAAGGTTTCAAATTTTGCTGATTACAGAAATTCGATCCACTGCTAACACTGATGCGACGCAGTGAGCTTTCAACAAATGATGTTAGTAAATGTCGTGAATGTATTTCTGTCATAATGTCACACAAAGATTCGAAAGAACCGCTTACATCGCGAACAATCAGCTGTGTCAAATTTAAAAATCCGCTTAATCGGTACGATTGAATTTTTGCTTGTTTTTTTATCCTACTACAGTTTCCATGTTTTGGCACAGATAGCCATAAATGGGAAAAAAATCTTCGTTATTTTTTGTTAGTTAAATATAACCGTTTGGCATGGGTGCTGTTGCAAACGGACCTGCGCTTGTTGTACACGGGCTCACGATCGCTTTGTTTTTAAGTTTTTTTTTTTGAGAAATTAGCAAGAAAATCATCAGTTTTGCTTTAACGAGTTTCTAAATGAAGTAAATTTGCAACAACTTGTCGAAAGGATTGTTTCGATCTCACTGAAAAAGTAGCAGTTACAAACAAACTTGAAAATGTGTGAATTTGTCCCTTAAATATTGGCTGTGCGAAATTAGGATTCTGCGAAAATCAAAAGGATTTCGGTTTATGAAAACTTAGTTCAAGATTTTTTTTGTCAAATTTCGTAAAATTCTGGATAAAAAATTTCAGTGAGGAGCAGTTCCGAGTGGCCTGTGAGGAGCTTTTGCTTCATTTACGCAATTATGTGAACCATTCAGAACGGCATCTTGAAGTATACAATATGTTTTTGCAGGTATTTTAATTTATTAAATGCTTGAACAACTGCTAAACTAAATTTTTATTAATAATAAAAGCTTAGCTTGCTGCATTAGTGAACGTTTTGACCGGACTGAAGATATCCTGTCCCAGTTACTGCACATATCTGACCTGTATTAGTGGCTAGTATGTTATTGTAGTAAGCTTCATCACATGTATTAGTTTCCAACAGTCTTTCTACATTCGTATCCTCACATGTGTGACTGGTGCACTAGCATTGTCGACTTCCTTACAGCGTATTAGTTTTTACAGTTTTCTTCCTTTTTCAATTTTCGCATTCTTTCTACAGTATTATAGCTTTTTTTATTAAAAATATTTTGAATCAGCAAATTTATCTGTCATTCTACTGATTATATGTCAGTCGCATATTAGGAACTTGTTATGAACGGAACCCTTTTTCGAAAATGTTTATGCACCGAAAGGGAATCGAACCACTCCCCCTTCACATTTGGACGCGGCGTGCTACCCACTTCACTACCGGCATCTCTGTGGCAAGAATGTTGCCGGAAAGTTTGCGAAGGGTCGGCAACTGTGTTGAAAGGGTGTACTGCACAAGGCGCAACAGTCAGACAATACAGAATATGTGTGGAAGTGCCATACATACAGAATACAGAAGTGCCATACATACAGAATACATAGCATCGATGCTTAAGCTAAGTGGGTGGGGCACAAAGGCTGGGGTGTGGTGAGCCCACGCATTGTTCTGGAGCACCTATATTCCGCATGTATGGCACTCTCATACCTATTCTGAGCTGTTTGGCTGTTGCATCTTGTGCAGCACATCCTTTCAATAGTTACCAGCTTGCCACGAGTTTCTCGCTACAGTCTCGCTGGTGGTGTACTGGGGTGCAAGCCGTGTCTGAATTTGAAGGGAGAGTGGTTCGATTCTCTTTCCGATCCATGACCATTTTCGGAGGGAGCTTCGTTAACGACAAAGCTAAACCCTCTTGATCACCTTACCCAGGCTATTTTGTTGTATCTGGTGCTCACTCTGTTATGTGATGAAGCAAATAACTACGTTAAGGCATAGTTATATTTGTCGCACAACTGTGATTAAGAATGTCAGGATATTTTTGTGTGAACTCTAGATCATTACATCTCCTGAACTTTTTCTTCACAACGCGTGCTGTTTCACGATCTCTTTTCACTTCTTGTTTTCTTGGTCTTTCCTTTCATCCCGTTGTAAGTCCACAGCGCAGCAAGCAGCTACTATGCTGTGGGCCACAACGGGATCCAGAATTCACACGAAAAGTGTTACTACTGGGAGAATTTATTCCTAAGTTCCGGTGCTTTATTATTTGTTAAATGTTACAGATGTCGGGCTTGGATCGCACAACTAATCTATCAGTCGCGGATGTTTCACTTCTTACACCGCAGTATCTTTTTTATTCTTTTTCTAAACTGCTTTGGATCTGCTAAGAAAATTGATAAAAGCGCATAACTACAGGTTCTCGTAAAAGCAATTGCCAGTCATGCTGCCAACTGTTCCAGGGCACTATTTGGGCGATTTCAGTTTAGACGTGGTCACCTCTGTAATTATTTCCAATCTCCCCCTTTTAGTTGCATGAAATTTTTCGCTTTACAGATTAGAAGGAGAAGCAGATCCAGCCGTACAAGGGGAAGATTCGCAAAGTCGGAGCATGT